ATCATAGAAGCCCTTCACTTCTTTAGTTAAGTTAGTTCCTAGGTGTTTTATTTTTTGTGGGGCTATTGTAAACAGAGTTACTTTCCTGATTTTTGCCTCACTCTTCTCGTTATTGGCATTCAGAAAAGCCATTGATTTTTGAGGGTTAATTTTATACACTGCTACTTTTCGAAAGTTGTGAATCAGGTTGAGTAACTTGGGAGTGGAGTCCATGGGGTGCTTTAAATTCAAGATCATGTACTCTGAAAAGAGAGAGCTGGAAGCACCATTTTGATATCATTTTTCCAAGTCTTTCCTTTACCTTATGAAAGGGGCGATGTCATTCTTTCTGATAGAAGCATAAAATTCCCTTGTGTATATATACCGCATTTTCTTGATCCATTCATCTATTGAAGGACATCTGGGTTGGTTCTATATCTTACCTATGGTAAATAATGCTGCATTGAACATAGTTGTACTGGTAGCTTTCGTATGCTCTATTTTGAGATCATCTGGATAAATACCCAGGAGTGGGATTGCTGGATCACAGGGTAGTTCTATGTTTAGTCTATTGAGAAACCTCCATACTGCCTTCCAGAATGATTGAACCAGCTTACATTGCCACCAACAGTTTAGTAGTGTTCCCTTTGGCCACATCTTCTCCAACATTTGTTATTATTTGTTTTCTAAATAATGGCCATTCTAACTGGGGTGAGGTGGAATCTCAATGTGGTTTTGATTTGCATTGCTTTTATGGCTAGAGACCCTGAGAATTTCTTCTTGTGTTTAAATCCATTTTTAGATGTACATTATTTTTGTGGTTCAAAAATGTGTGTTATAGGCTGGGAGGTAGCTCCGTGGCAAAGCATGTGGCTAGGAAGTTCAATGTCCTGCATTCAATCCCCAGGGCCAAAAAAAAAAAAAAGACCAAAGAAATACAGTTAAAAAAAACCCAAACAAACAAAACAAAAAAAATGTGCTTCTACTTGGTTCATTTACTAATATACCACATCAATTCATGGAGCTATTTCAAGTTTTGTTACAGTTCCATATTCCTTTTAATGAAGATGTTCCATTATTTAAGCCCTATCTTATATTGTACTATAAACTGTTCCCAATTTTGGTAAGTAGAAAAAGTATAGCAATAAATACAATTGTACATGTATATTTTTTATGTGACATAATTAAAAATGATAAATAGTACATGTTATATTTAAGGCTTAATTTCCTGAATGGAAATTACTGAACCAAAGCAATTCACTTTATGTTTTCATTATCTTAATTTGCTAATACTTTCTCTAGATGTGTACAATCATTAAGATGAACCCTTCATCCAACCTAAAACAAGCCCTATTGATAACCAAAACTATAACTGTAACCCTCACCCTAACACCCTAACCAAATACAAAACCAAAATTAACTCTAACACTAAAGTTAACACTAAGCCTACACTAACCCTCCCTGAGAAGGAGTGAGGATGGCAGGCTTCTACTCATGCCAGAGTCTTGGTTCCTGGGCCGTCTCTGGTCTGCGAACTGCAGGATGAAGATATCTGCTCCTTGTCAGTTCTTGCTGGTGTTGAGTGGAATCCAATCGCCCGCTGCATCTGGTGCCTTTGTCCTGGACTCTGTGTTGTAGGTATTGTGGCTACAGCCGCCGCTGCTGCCGCTGCAGCCCCAGTTACCATCAAGTGCTCAGATCTGTCTCCTTGTCTGGATTTTCCCTCTCTGGCCAAACTCTCTGTACTGTGATGGCACACTTGGGGTGATTCTCTAGGCTAGGACTGTTCACTGGAACACTAAAACTGCTTTCTATGTGAGAGTTTGTTTAGCCTCCAGCTTATCCTCCGCCATGTTCCTCCCTCTCTACCTACACTAACCCTAATAACCCTAACTGTAATCCTAATTAGGCATAATGCCAACCCTAACCCTAACTGTAACTCTGAACCTAACATTTAACTCTAAACTTGATCCTAATATCTACCAATTCAATTCTTAAAACAATATGGAACTCAAAACTAAACTTAAAGCCTAACAGTAAAACTAAACACTGATCTACCAGAATTCTATCTCAAACTCTAAACTTCATACTAACCATAACCATTGATCAGTAATAAGCTTACAATGAATTCTAATCTTAAAACTAACTATAAATGTAAAAATAACCCTATCCTAGCACTGAAATATACTCCTTTAAAAACTCCCCAAGCCTAAACTTAACACAACTACTAAACCTAACCCTAATAATTCCAGCACAAATGAAACCCTAAATTTCACCCTAACCTACACCCTAGTTCTAACACCAACTCAAATGCCTAAGTCTAACTCTAACCCTTGAACAAAGCTAACCCTATCTATAACCTTAACCCTAATCTTTACCTTAACTTTAACATCTAACCCTAACCACTAGTCCACCTTGTAAATCTGAAACCATAACTTTAGATTGATAAATACTACATGTTATAACCCCTAAACATCTCCAACTCAAACCTGTTATGGCCCTCAACCCTAAACCTAAAACTATTATCAAACCCTAAGGTTAACCAAAACCTTCACCAATGTCCAGCCCTAACTGTATTTCTAATTCTAACACTATCTCTAATTCTAATGACTGGTTAGTCCTAAATCTAATACATCCTAATTTTATACTTAACCTTAACTCTAATCTTAGCCTAAGCTGAAACTGAACTCACATCCTAAACCTAATAGGAACACATGCCCTAAACCTAACGACAAACTTAGCCTAAACTTAACCCACAATTTAACCCCAACCCTAGCTCTAATCCTGACACTCGAACTAGCCCCAGCTCTAATTCTAACATTAATGTAACTCTAACTCAAACTCTAGCCCTAACCCTAGCCCTAATGTAAACACTAACCCTAACCCCAGCAAAAACTCTAAAACTAACCCTTACACATATAGTAAACCTCTCAGTAAGTAAATAAAAAATAAAGAGGTGAAACATCTATGATTAAAAACTTCAGGGGGCTAGGAAGGTTGCTCAGTGGTAGAGCGCTTGCCTTGCATGCATAAGGCCCTGGGTTGGATTCCTCAGCACCACATAGCAAAAAGAAAAAAAGCTGGAAGTGGCGCTGTGGCTCAAGTGGTAGAGCACTAGCCTTGAGCTGAAGAGCTGAGGGACAGCGCCCAGGCCCAGAGTTCAGGCCCCACTA